AGACACACATGGTCCATACTGTTGAGCAAAAACAGGCCAAAAAAAAAAGATAACGCCAACAAAACACAATAAAAATAGAATGTTCATCCATCGCCATATAAATTAAGGCGCCAGTGATTCCACAAACGAGAAAAGAACCTCATTGACCAACTTCGTACAAAGCTCTGAGTATAAATGATGCTATTTACAGAGTTTGTTAGCCTACTCATACATCTGTACATAAGGTTTCGAAGCACAGCAGCACAGTATAAGTTGCATCTGCCCAAAAATGCCTAAGAATTTGGAAAAATCCATAAATAAGTCGCTTCACCGTATAAGGCATCACCGCTGACGTGTTGCATTTGTCACGCGTCACCGATGACAACCAGGAATGTGGGCTGGTGTTGTGCCAAAAATCAATGGGCTGCCAAACGGCGACCGCAGCAGCGTGCACGGGAGGACTTTAACAAGAATTTAATAAGATTAACATCCATCCATCCATTATCTTTTACCCGCTTTTTCCATTTTGGGTCACGGGGGTCGCTGGTGCCCATGTCCGGCAATCACTGTGCGAGGGACAGGGTACACCCTGGACAGGTCGCAAGTCCATCACAGGGACGCATTGAGACAAACGAGACAAACAACAATTCACTCTCTCACTCACACCTAGGGACAATTTAGAGTTACCAATCAGCCTAACATGCATGTTTTTGGTCTGTGGGAGGAAACTGGAGCACCTGGAGAAAACCCACACATGCACAGAGAACATGCAAACCCCACCCAGAAAGGCCCCAAGACCGGGATTTGAACCAGGGACCTGCGTGCTGAGAGGCAGCAGCAGCAGCTCTATCAGTTGCGCCACCGTACTGCCCACAAGATTAAAACTTAAAAACAATTATTAGTTTGCTCAAATTTAGTAGCAAGGTGCATCTCAGTCTAATGTTTCCTTAATAAATGCACTTTGACGGTCAAATCAGTTGCATTTCAAAAGCCGATTCATGGAAGCAGGAGCGAGCAGAGGGACGAGTCGCTGTTCATTTCTTGGAATTTAACAAGATTAACACCTAAAAACAATCATTTGTTTGCTCGACTTTATAGTAAATGTGTGTCTCAGTTGAACTTTTACTTAATAAATGCACTTCAATGGTCAAATTGGCTGCATTTCGCTGGGGCAGCGCAGCAAACTGAAGCTGGTTTGACGGTGGCTCCAGGCGAGCTGGACGAAGTTGTCAGGCTAAGGCAAACCGACTGTGTCATTAATAGCCACTTTTACCTATTACGTGACACAACAACATGCCATAATACTCGAGCGCCAACTAACGACTGAAAATGGTAGTGTTTAATATTTTAAATGTCAGAATGAATGAAAACGGTCATATCTCAGCCAAAAATTGGATTATAAATATGGAAAAAAAATCCATAAATAAGTGGCTTTGGCATATAAGTCGCAGGGTATGCAAATTAGGCAAAAAGGTGCGACTTATAGGCCGGAAAATACGGTATACGTGTTTTTTCTTCTCTTATAATGAGGCTCCAAGCTGAAATGTTGGTGAACCACAGATCTATAGTATGATCCGACTTTACTTCTACTGAACAAACAATACACACATAAACTATATACGCATCTATGAATTTCTGTGTGAGAGACGGAACTGCTGGACAGGTTGGCTGCTGTCCCACAGAGACTGTAAATTCTTTAATCCTGTAGAAGCTGTAAAGTATAAAATGCGCAGCAAAATGGAGTGATAAACAACCAAATTGATTCCGCTTGTCTGAAATGTATGATGCAAACAAAACTAACAAAAATTGTGAATTATTTGTGAGTTATTACAAACGCAAGACAAGCTGAAGGACAGTGCAAGTGAAATGTGTATTACACATTTTAGCACAGATAATAGTTTGAACTGCACTGTCCCTATGCGTACATTTTTATAAACACAACATTTAAGTTATTTTTCAGTTATTTTGGCTTTAGTGACAAGTTATCAATAATGTGGATAGAATATATATTAGAAAATATTGCCTGTTGACTGTCTCTGTGTAGAAAGTGGAGGATGAGGAGAGAAAAGGAAAATAAAAAAGCAGAAAGTGACTAAAAGCTAACGGGGTTCTGATGTGCATTAATGGTCCGATGTACACTTTGTGGAGGTTGTGTGCTGCGGTCAGACGTTGGCTGGTCGGTTCGACGTGCCGTGTTCAGGCCAGATGGACGAAACGTTCAAAACACGGATCCGTTTTCAAAGAGCGCTAGAACAAATCCGGGCCTGCTGCTTTCAAAACGATCCAAAACTGTGCGTGTGACGTGCACATCTGCGCAGAGCCGTGCCTGTATGTGTTGAGGGTTGAGTGTGAAAAGTTTTATATATGGCAGTGCTCAAACAGGAATCAGGTCTGGCATTTGGGTGAGCCCCCCTACCCTTTCAACAGCTCCCAGCAGATCATTCGTTATATCTTGAGGTGGATGAAGAAAAAAAAATGCTCCACTAAAAACTATCAATTTTCACTGCTTGCAACTCTTTGGAAACATTTTCCCTAGAGATGTTCCAGAGCAGAAATGGAACAGTTTCACGTTCTTTGTAAATCTGCAGGTGACAACACTGATTTACCTGAAGGCAGCAAGGTAGTCTGCATCAGCCATGGGTGGTTCAAGTCCTCCGGTAAAAGCCATGTTCACGTTGAAGCCCTCCCCTGCATCGCTGCCCACCTGAAACACAGAAACGTTGTTTTATAAGTAGAACCATAACGAAACCAAGGCGTAGGTGAGCAGAGGGACAGATCTCACCTCATCAGGTGCTCCACTGCCTGGGAAGAAGTTCCCGTCGTCATAGCGATGCAGAGACAGGTAGAGAACACTGGGGTCAGTGTAGAAGGCCTGCTGGGTTCCATTCCCATGATGGATGTCCTGGTTAAAGCAACGAGTCTCATTACAAAACAAGCTTTATGACATAATGACTCAAACAAAACTTTAACGAGAAGCTACCTCGCCACCGGTAGCACAAAACCATCCTGGAAAACCGAAGGACTATTGAGCTCTACACCTGCTCTTAACAAACTGAGTGACAGAGAAACGGTTAATCTACATCTCAGCTGCAGCCTGTTGTGATGTTGAAAAAGCACGGTCAGCAGGATTCAATAAAAGCACAACTTTAATAGCTGCTTTCTCCAGCCAACAACATGACATCAATTAAATGACCTCACTTTTCTGCATTCAAAGAATGCTTTAATACGCAGCTCCTAAAAATGTCCCTGTTAGCTGCAGGCGAGCGGAACAACAACGAGCCTGAGCTCCGTCTGCGACAGACCGAGAGGAAATGAAACGGTCCTTCAAAGGATTTGAGGAATAACCGTGACCAGCCAGGAAGCATCACTCCAGGACACAAGGACATTTCATCATGTCTTTTTATATTTGGGGGAGATAGTATCGATAAAAAGATGCCTAAATGTTACGTTTGGCTAAAGTGTTTCTAATCATTCTTAGGCTTTCATGGTCTTCTGAACTGATTCCAATAGAAGAAACAAGCTGGTTTGACCACACCTACTCATGATCAGAAGTCAGTTAGAAGAGTTGTAAAAGATGATCCTTTTAGAAGTAGAATCATCATTCCACTTCTATTTATTTATTTTTCTGAAGGGTCTGACTGTGTAACTAAAGAAGGTTTTAGGGGAATATCTGACTGAGCTGCAACTAGTTGACAACTCAAAATTGTGAGGGGGAAAAAAAAGCCATTTTTTTATTTTCAGCCATAGTGAGTGTCGGTGTTTGCAACCATGTGGCCAGCGAGCCGTGCAGCCATGTTTCCAGCAGCCACTTTTTGAAAACCACAACTTATTGTCGTGCACAATGTGCAAAACTGTATTTATGTCCGGGCGGCACAGTGGCACAGTCGTTGGAGCTGTTGCCTCTTGGCGAGATCACCGGATCGAATCCCATTTGTGGGTGGAGTTTGCATGTTCTCTCTGTGCATGCGTGGGTTTTCTCCAGGTACTCCAGTTTCCTCCCACAGACCAAAAACATGCATGTTAGGCTGATTGGTAACTCTAAATTGTCCCTAGGTGTGAGTGAGAGTGAAAGGTTGTTTGTCTCGTTTGTCTCTATGTCCCTGTGCTGAAATGGAGACGTGTCCAAGGTGTCCCCCGCCTCTCGCACAGTGACTGCTGGACATGGGCACCAGTGACCCCCATGACCCAAAAATGAAGAAGCAGGTAAAAATAATGGATGGAAGTATTTATGTCTGCATATTATTTTGTTGTCCACCTTCACTAACTTTGCACCCAGCTTGGCAGTTTAATTTTTATTTATCAACGTGAATTTTAGACTTCGATATTTGCCTCAAGTTTTTATTTTTTTGTCAACAAGCATTAAGTTAATGTCATCTATCACTGAGGGACTTGAGTAGTGGATGCTTGTAGTCTTTGAGATTAATGTTTTTCTGGACTCACTGAACCGGTAATGCAAGTAAACCTTAATGTTTTTGCTGCACGATATTCAAGTGAGGGAATTACGCTGTGTAGAAGAACAGAGGGAGTGGTTTTTACTTGTCTGAGGCGATGCAGAGTGACGGAGAAGGGAGAAATTTTAACCATGACCAGGTTCAGCAGTGGAGCCAGGGGGTGGCCAATGTGGGCCTTGGCCACCATAGATTAATCTTCGGCCACCCCAAGGGCTGTCCCAATCATTTGAGGAATCTTTACTTTTAATCAATATAAAAACTAGAACGTTTCCTCAAATGATTGGGTGGCTGGTTTGACTTGTTGATAGTGACCTTTTTGACACCTAGATGCAGCCACACACCAAGTTTAGATGTTTCTATCGACAAAAAACTTTGTAAACAAGTTTTATTAAGGGGAAACAAGAGATCAGTGTAAACAAAATGATCCTTATCTACAGCTTATTGTGTATCAAACTGTGAAAAAGATGTTGGTTTATATCTATACAGAAATTAATACAAAAAACAAAACAAAAAAAAACACACACATAAGGGAAAAGAATAACCACTGTGCTGCTGATTAAACTCACCCAGTCCACTATGAGGATTTTGCTGACGTTTAGCCTCTGCTGTAGGAGCTTGGCTGCGATGGCGATGGAGTTAAAATAACAGAAGCCCCTGTAAATCATAATAAAACGGTTACATGTACAAATGCATTCAACAATACTGTCCTGGTACGATCTCTCTGTCAAATAATGACTCACATTGGAGTGCTTTCCTCAGCGTGGTGTCCAGGTGGGCGAACTACAGCAAAACCATTCTGCAAAACAGAAGCTCGTGCTTAAATAAAGTTTCACATTTTAAGGAATTAACCTGCTCAACTGTAAACTGGTTCCACGATCATAAACCGGAGTAGAGAAACTGCATTTCCTGCATATATGCCGTGCGAATGCTTATCGCTGACTGACTTCTGCGGAAAGCTGCTAAAGAAGTTGAAAACAGGCCGAAAAGGTTTAATCGCTAAACTGTTACTGCGAGTTGAATTTGAACAGCTGACATTGGCTGAAAACAGGAAAATTAAAGCAGAAAGACGAAGAAAAACAGCAGAAATGAGCAGAATAAGCTGAAATAGGCGGAGAAAGGCTCAACGTATTACAAAAAAATCTGAAATTGGCAAATAAGAAACTGTAAAATCTTTAAAAAAAAAAAAAAAAGGTTGTAATTAGCAGAAGGAAGCATAAAAAGTTGAAAATTATTCAAAACAATCGCAAAAGGCAGAAATTAGCAACCACAAAAAAAGGAAGAATTTTTTTTTTTTAATTTAGAGCAGCAAGACATTGGATATTTGGCCATTATCTGATATGCCAATATGTTAAAACGTATTTACCAATATCAATATATATTTTTTTGTCTTAGACCTACTTACAGAGACTACACAGCTTTCTCTGATGTGGAATTAAAATACTACATTACTCTGCAGGTCTTTGTCAGTTTGGCTTGCTGCCAAATGCAGATGCCAAAAAGGGTGCTGAAAATGATGCAACACTTGAACTTGGATTATGTTTAATGTCAAATTTATTTATGACATTTACTCTAACACAATGACAACACTCGAACAGTACAAATTTGTAAATTTTCACAAATCTAAACTGAGCCTGTTCACAAGCAGCAAGTGAAAAGTGCATAAGTAGTAGGGCGTTAATAAATATACTTGACAGGCTCTTAAATTAGAAATTAACTTAAAACAGAAGCCCAACACATGGTTATACTATCTTAATGATCAACAAATATCGGCTAATACCGATAATATCATGCATTCCTATTAAAATTAGCAGAAAAATATCTAATAAAGAAGCAAAAAAAAGTTGAATTTAGCAGAAAAGAGCACAAAAAGCTAAAATTAATTGAAAAGAAGCTTAAAAAAAAACAAAAAAAAAAAGCTGAACCAGAACAAAAGCAGAAATGAGCAGTAAAAAGTAGTAAACAGCCCAAAGCGTTTGAAGGATGTGGACGGCTCCATTCCTTTTGAATGAGAAAAATATGGCAGAAATAAATAGTTCAAAAAGTAAAAATTGCACCAACACCAAAAGTCATAGCAGGGATGTCCTGAATGAGCTGAAAGTTTTGATATACGACTTGTTGAAATGGCACAAAAATCACAGAAAGCGTTATGTGCCAAAATACGTATGGAAGAAAAATGCAACTCAATGGTGTGGATGATTTAGAAACGCTCACACAATAAATCAACATTATCTGATGGTCTGACTTTGGCATGACCAAAAATAACCCCGTTCTGTCGAAGAACGTCACCGGTCTTCTCCTCGGAGGGTAGAACTGCGAGCAAATGGGAACGCACAGAAACAGATGCTGGTGTCGGGTCAGTTAAGGCAGCACTCCCAGTAACTGCTCTGGGAGTCTCCCACTGCTTCGTGGGGACATTAGATAGATGTTCGGGCTGATGCGGAGCGAGGCGAGCTGGACTAATGATGTTGAGTCAGCTGCAGTGGATTAGCAGCCAGCCGGAAGATTACTGTAGCGACAAGTGCCTCGGCTGATTTGAAGGCATCCACTTGAAGAACTCTGCATTATGTTTGCGAGCACATGACCGAGTGCAGGTGTAGGATAAAACGAGAGGGGAGGATTGTTTCCCCATAAAAACTTTGACAAATTAGGATCAGGGGAGAAACATAAAGGGGGAGCAGAACTGTGCGTGTCCCATCGCACATCTGAGTGTGTGTTCCTTGTGTAGATTTATGACAACGTGTGGAGTTCACAGAGTTGTTGGTGCAGGTGGAACTTTGCTGCGGAGGATCCCTAGACCATCTGCATGCGCGTAAAAAAATAAAATAAATGGGGAGTGCGAACGTGTACGCATGAATGAGCACCTGCACAAAGCTGCACGTGTTGGGAGTCCGCTTAACATCGTACAACTTTAAAAGCGGCTGCACAGATTGGTTTTCATTTGAAGCAGATGAGCAGAAAAAGCAACAAGACTGACTGATATCAGTCGAGACCAAAAACCTATTTGCGTGCCGTGCTACTGTCTCGCTCCGAGGAATGCCATTAGTCTGCGGTGCGTTGGTGCCAAGCTAACGCTAAGTGGGACGGCTGCTCTGCAGGTGGCTGCGGTGTAAGACTAATAAAGAAGGCCTGTTAGTGGGGCCTGCTGGCATTTGTGCATCGGGCCTCCCTGCTGGGTTCAAACAGCAAGCGGCCACAGCTACGCTTGAAGGCCGGGTGGGGGAGCTGGGATGAGGGGGCGGGTTGGGTATCACAGGGTGCGGTTGTTGTCCGGAACAAGCAAATGATGGAGGGAGGTTTCCTTCCACTTGACTGAGGCAAAATGAGCTCAAAACATGAAGCAGGAACTCTCTGAGCTTGAATGAATTGTTGCGTTCAGGGCGGTAACGAGCGCATATTTGTGCACCAACACAAAGCAAATATAAAAGAAGTCTTCAGTGATTCCAGAGTGAGTTATCACGTCACCGTGCATGCCAGCGTTTCATGTAATCTGTTAGCTCTCAGAGTATGTGTTGGGCATGACCCTCAGCTACCACCTGGACTTAGTATCAGCTATTTAAGCTAAAAACTAAAAAAAAAAAAAATCAATCAATTTATTCACTCGATTCAAAAAATTGATCATCAGTTTACATTTTCTGACGGCACTTATTTACACGAGTGAAGAGGGAGCAGGAAGAAGAAAATCTTGTATAGACCTGCCCCCTTTCTCAATAATTACAAAAATGTCATGTCCGTATACATTAAATTATCAACAACAATAACATGCATGACAATATCACGCTTCCCATTAACAACTCAAAAAGTGTATGAGTTACTCATTATTTTTTTATAAAGTATTTTGAATTGGTTTATAGTAGAACATTTATTTAACTCCTCATCCAAACTGTTCCATAGTTTTACTTCATGCACCGAAATGCACATTTGTTTTAAAGTAGTACGCACAGTTTTACTTTTGAAATCATACTTCCTTCTGTTATTTCTATCACATGAGCTTAAGAAAAATAATTTTTGTAAATTAAATGGCAATAATCTCTTACTAGCTTTAAACATAACCAACAGCATTTTTAAATTAACCAGATCCCTTAGTTTCAAGATATTTGATTGAATAGATAATTTATTTGTGTTTTCTCTGGTGTCTATTTTATATCAAATTCTCATAACTTTCTTTTGTATCACAGACAACGGTTAAGTGTTGGTTTATGTGTTGCCTCATACCTTTATACAATAAAACAAAACAAACGTCAGCAAATACAATATTGTCCACCTTTCACGAAGCCAAGAAATAAACATGCAGTGCTGGGAAGTACGCAGAGTTTTATTAATATACAGTAGTCCCTCGCTTCTTCGTGGTTCGACTTTTGCGGACTCGTTCTTCAGCGGTTTTTCAAAGGATGAGTAAACGATGCACACAGTTGGCTGATTGATGAATGAGCCGCAAGAGTGGCACAGATTGTTCATTTAAAATACATAATTTAAAATGATTTAGCACCTGTGTGCAGCCCACAGGTGCAGGGAGAAGCTCCCTCTGCAGCCTGTCATGATCTCCTCTCTGCCACGCCCACGTTTCTGCTCCGGGCTGCATTTCTGCACGCTGATCAGCTGATCAGCTGATCAGCTGTTTAACTGCAGCAGGAAGTTCATCCTGCAAAAGTAAGGGCTGCACAAAGCTGCAGGAGGAATCTTTTTTTTTTTCTGCTGCTCTGGGCTGCACAAATGTGCAGGTGCTAAATAATTGCAAATTAATTTTAAATAAAAATGTCATCCCGATTGTGCGGCTCATCCATCAATCAGCCGATTGTGTGTCATGTCCAGTCTTGATTTGAAAATCTGTGATAAACAAACCGCGAAGTAGCAAGGGACTACTGTACTATCCCTACTTCAGTTTTCCAATTATCGCGGGGGACTCAACCCTGTGATAAACGAAGGACTGTACATACTTTTTCTAGGTAAATTTCACAAACAGCACTGCCTGACATATTTCTCCTCTAAAGTGTTCTTAGTTTTCTTTTGTTTTGGAGCAGCCTGGTGACTCACCTGCATTTTATTTTAAAATACTTTAAGCTACTAATGCTAAATGCAGTAAACCAATGGGAAACTGAACTTTTACGTTTGCCTTTGTGTCCTGAGCATCCGCAGCCTGACTGAGGCTGTGAGTTTTGCACAAACATTATTTTTCTCCGAGCCGTTTTACAAAAAAATGCCACTTAAAAGGCTTAATTAAGCCATCAATGCACAAAAAAAGATACCGTGACTCTAAATACATATTTTCACAAGATAATTTAAGGATTGAACATTGTGTCGTCTCAAAGCATCCGGTTCTTTAGACGGTGAGTATTTGTAAAATGGATCACTTTTCAGAGTTTATGATGCATTCAAGTAAATCTTGATACCTTTTTTAAAATCATCTTTAATTTGTTGGTTAAAACAATAAAGTAAAAATAAATGGACCCACACGGAGTGTCGTTTTTCAACACCTTTAAGTGAACCCAACCGATCGTAGGAACCAACCTTCAGCTCTCCTGATGCTACTTTAAACACCAGCTCCACCACGGAGCCGACGGCCAGGCGAGCAGCCGTGGATGAATGGATCTCGTTCCAAATGGTGTCGCTGTCCACCTGCCAACGCACACAAACGCACAGGATATATCACACGCCGTTTCAAGGACGTTTGAAAAGGAGAAAAACCACCGTAAACTTTTCCATTTATTCATTTTTTTTACGAATAGGGAAATATTTAAAAAGGGGTCACTTGGAGACAGAAAACAAATCTGTCAAACTGTATTTAAAACTGTTTCGTTTTTGTCCTTTTGAAAGGATCAAAGTTAGTGTGGTGATGAAGAAACGGCGAAGGGAGAGCTGGAAAACTGTATTCACCGAGACAATTAAAATTAACCGCTATGAAGCTGAATTTAGCAGCTTGGTTTTATTGTTTAGACAAAAAGTGGTACTTCGAAACGACAAAATAAAAGCCTAAGGCCTTCGTGTCGAAGAAACGCATTTCGACAGGAACAAAAAAGGTTAAATTGTGTCATCTGGAGTTTCTTTAAGTGAGAGAGGTTTCGTTCCTCATCCAGAGAACTTCGTCAGTCAATGTGTGCATCATGCACAACATTGTTATACATGAGTGATTGTTTTGGATGGGTGTGTTTTGCCTACTTTTGAGATCCCAACAGGAGGTTGGCTTGAAACACAGCAGAGAAGGCTATTTATGGGGGAAATCTGGTTGGCAGGCCGTAGACTGAGGAAGTCCCCTGGATGGGGGACGAAATGTTGCTCAAAGAAACGGGTCCAGATGACACAATTTAACCTTTATCTACCTGGATGATTGAACTTACAACCCTTTTTCACATTTCGACAGGGTTTCATGCCAGAGTTTTACATTAATATCATCAAATTATGAGATGTCACTCTCAAAGTCTGAGTTCTACCAAATCAAATTTTAGCTAAAAATCTGTAATTTTGATTTTACCTTGACAGTTTACCTGATCATTTAAAGACTGCAGAGGCTGTTGAGACTTTTAAATCGATGCTCAAAACTCATATTTTTTTCAACGTTGCGTGTTGTATTTCATGTTGTATTTCATGGTGACATTTCTTGTTTTTCCTGAGTGGCACAAGATGTATTTGTTTTCATTTTAATCTGACTAAAGTGTAAAGCACTTTGGTCAGATTTTGTTGTTTTTACATGCTATGTAAATAAACTGGCATTGACACTGATTGAATTGTAGCTATTTTTGTGTTACCTAAGGTCAGTTGGCTGTAGCGGCCTTTTTGATTTGAACTGGGTTCAAAAGTTAATCCGTTTTAAAGGTCCACAACTGTTAAAAACATTGTCACCCGCCATTAACCATTCTGTGGCGAACACCAAACTTAATGCTGAATTGACACGAGACAAAAACATTCATCCTAAAAATATGGATATGGAACCATCCAGCAAAGTTCAGTCAGGTCCTCTGGACAGTTTTGTTTTGTTGAAAAGTTTCGTCTTTCATCCAAAGGACTTCATCAGTCTGAGGAGCCACATCAACAGCCATATTCTGGTTGCCTCAGACAAGTCGGCGGGGGAGAGGGCGGACTCCAGAAACCAGCTCATCACCAACAACCTGGTTGGACCACTATGTGAATGTGCTACTTATGGGACTGAGTTTGTTGTGGCTCCTCGGACTGATGAAGTCCTTTGGATGAAAGACAAAACATTTCAACAAAAAGAAACTGTCCAGAGGAACTGACTTAACTTTGTTAGATTTTTTTCCAGGATTATTGAGCATGAACTTTGATGATATGGAACCATTGTTCCTTAAACTTTTCTAGTGAATACTTTCAAATAAAAATCCTAAAACCATGTTTGTGTTTGTTTGTTTTAAACTTTGCATTGTGCCTTTTTTTTTTTTAATTTTTCAGGATGATTGCATGTACAGTATGTGTTTGTGTTTGAGAACTATGAACCGTGCACGGGTCAACCATTCATTTAGTGGTCAAACCTGATTAATGCAGAGGCACGGCTGGCCCTCAGCCTCCGATCACAACACACACACACACACACACACACACACACACACACACACACACCAAAGCCAAAAAAGACCAGAATACTCTGCGTGATTGATTGGACACAGGATAATATACACACCCTCCATCAAGCGTGGCAGATACTGCCGGCAGATGGAGCGCATGATAAACACACAGCGAAGACGTTGGCAGAGGAAAAGAAGAAAAGCAAAGTTCTGTGGACACATGTGCAGAGTGGGCCGAACCAGAACTGGAGCAAGATCTCCTGATGTAAACTCTCCTGCTTTCAACATGTTCCATTAAAACTGCCGGCCACTTTCTGCTCGTCTGTCATCCAAGCTCAGACGTAGTTTGTTGGGTCGGTCAAAAGATTTTAGCTGAGCATAATTTTTGCCTTTTTATTTAGCTCGTTAGTCCATCGTCCAATCAGAGAGCAGCACTTCATCCATCCAGCCGGCCGCCCGGCATCACGTTCTTCCTGTCTCTGGTGACGGAACTCATCAAGGCTGGATGATTGCTCCATAATAACATCCACAGAGAAGAAAACGGGCTCCTTTTTAGCTGCGCCAAAAAAGACTTTGTCATGAAATAAAACCGTGGAGCGTTTACCAGAGACCGAAAGAAACTAAATTAAAAAAAACGACGGAGGAAGGCGGCGTAGCTGCTGATGAACATCTAATGGGACCAAACGTGAAAACTGAGAACTTCAAACTGGATTTTGTACAAAAATCAAGTCAACAAAAACAAATCGGTGTTCTGATGCAGCAAGAGGTTTCTTGTTTCTTGTGATGATGCTGCTTTCAACCAGGAATGAGCTTGAAGTTAATCAGAAGAAAAGGCTGCATGTGTGTGTAGAAAAGAGAGGGAGCGTGCTGCTGTGACAAAACGACGGCTCTCCTCAGGCTGACGGCCTAATTTCACCCCCTCTTCCTCTTGAGTATGATTTGTATGTGAGCGTATGACAGGAAGACAAGAGTATGACAGGAAGACAACAATTTGGTCCCATTTGCTATTATAAAAAGCAGACCAGCACAGAGATCAGGATTTTTTTTTTTTTTAACGCCCTGTCTTTTTCCTCCCAAAGTGTGGGGGAGATGGGAAGAAGAAAGTAAAAGGAAATGAGAGATGGCCTGAAAATACCTTTAAAAAATCCTTTAAAGTCAACAAATACCAGCAAGTATACGGATGAAAGAATATCAGTATGAAAAGGCATCACTTCCTGTTTGAAAGGTACTCATTGCCAAGTCATGAAGACTTCACACAAACGTTTTTCTCCTATCCATAGGAAATGGATCTTCAAACTAGAGAAATTTAATTTCCTGCGAAAGTGCATTGTGAATGCTTATTGCAGAAGAAATTGCTGAGAAACAGCTGAAATTAGCTAAAACATGCTGAAATGTAGCTGAAATGGAAGAACAAGCCTAAATTAGCAGGACCAGAAAAAACGCATATTTTCTGAATAGGCTCTGTGCACATGCGTCCTGAATCACTTCCCCTTTGACCGGATGTTGGCATTCCAGTTTCCGGTCTAATCCCCGGTCTCGGTGAAAATGGCGTTTTCTAGATGTTTACAAGAGCTGCCCAAGATAAATATCAGCGATGTTCATCGTATTGTTGATGGCTGGTCCCCTGCTCCGACAAGCAAACGTAACAAGGGATTTAAATTGTATATCTCAAGTTACCTGCACAACTACGAGGGTAAGTAACGTTAGTTTGATCGTTGTGATGTTGCTAACTGTTTGCAGCTAACGTTAGGCTATTAGCAACACGACCATTTTTGTGTATACTCACGTTATAGAAACAGGTTTTCCACACTTAAACAAAAGGCTCATATTTTGTGATCATTCTACTAACATTCTGCTCTTCTCAGTTTCTAGCAAAAATCAGGACACAGGTGAAGTCGTTGTCAGGGCTCTGTGTCACAGGTCCATGAAGAAAAATGAAAAACCTCACAGTTTAAGTGTAGGGTGAAGATAGGATTGTTCAGATGACAGTTTTAAGATTGTTGGTTCAGTAACCCGACGTTCCTAATGTTAATGGGGATTTAGCTAAGGTGGTAATTAATTCTTAAATAAAAATAAAATGGAATTGGCTATTTGATGAATATTAACACGTGAGTTTGGCCTTGCTTGTCCCCATTTGGTTATTTGCTGCATGCATTGTTCTTCTTTTATGGTTGTTATGTGTTACTTTTAACCCAGTGTTAATTTGGTAATTCATGCATATTAGTTTTACTTAAATCTAAAGAATACACTCACAGTCTCTGTAACATTATCCAGGTATTTTTACCTAGCGGGTCTCCTCTGGGTTAAAAGTGTTTTGAAATCAAGTTATCTTTATCTCATCCATTCATTTAAGATGTAATCTTGTGATAATTGTATTACACTACTCTTGACCTTCATAGAACATACTCCAAACTAAATATATAATCACATAACATGATACTATGGTTCTATGACATTAGTTATAAAAAAATATTTGGGAAGCAAGATTGCATCATGAAAGAATGGCTGATGAGTGACCAAGCTAAGATAATAAGTTCTTACTATGACATTCTTATGCAGGTGGTCCTGAAAGACTCGTGTCCTGTGGAGCTGATTCACCACAGCTGTACGTGTGTTGCTGGTGCAGCATTATGCAACCACTGTGTGGCTTTGCTGTTCCAGTCAGCACATTATTCTGAGCTGAAACTGTCAGTGGTCCCCCCTGTACTAAGCTGTACAGAAGGAGAACAGCAGTGGCACAAGCCCAGAACTTTAGTAAGTTTTCTCTTCAATAATAGACTCAATTTATTACATTTTCTTGCCGTATAACTTGTAACTGTGTCATGGATAACTGAATAGGGTATAAAACCTGGCCCCGTGGACAAGATGACTGTGCTGTCTGCTAAACCGAAGAGTGGAGCAACAACAGAGGGTGTAAGGTAAAAAAAAATCAATAAAAATTCTGATGTATTACAACAGTGTTTCTCAACCCTGGTCCTCAAGGCACACTGCTCTGCATGCTTTATAGATTTCCCTGCATTAACACAGCTGATACAGTTGTTAATCAGTTACCAACTGAAATGAGCTGTGTTTAAGCAGGGACAAATCTCAAACATGCAGGAC